CCTCCCTGCCGAATTCTGGCCAGCCTCTCTGTTCCAATAGGAGGAGGTATCTTTCGATCCTGACTGGCACTGTTTCCTTTTGGTTGTTGGCCCAATGTTTGTGGTGCAGAAGTGGCTGAAAGAGGTGAAGATGATCCCGAAGAAACAGATGGAATAGGAGAGTCACCTGGTGGCAAAATATTTCTCTATTGTTTTATTACATATAAAAACTAAAGGAATATGAGAAACCTTGTAAAGATCTATTGCAACAACATAGGTTCTGTAAAGGAAAGTTCATTTAAAAGGATAATTCAAATGAAAATATTTTTATAACCATGTTTAGACTCCTGCCTGAAGCTAAGTATAGAGTGCTTGGTAAGGCTTTTTCCAAATTGAATTGGACAAAGCTAGAAAAGAATTTACGATTATATTAAGTAATCATCTGAAAACATAATTACATCTTACATTTACAAAGGCAGTGTATTTAGAGACTACTTAGATTACTGTCTAGAAAATATCTGAATATTTGTTAATTCTCTACCATTTCTATATTACCCCCCCTTTTCCATAAGGAAAAGAAGATAAATGCTAAAATCACTCTAGAATTCAAGTGATAACTTTGATTGTTCAATGAACTTAGGTAGTATGTGTAGTTTTCTTTATTGAAAAATATGGATCAGGTGTTCTGTGCACAGCTTAAATCACGGTACTCTGGAGACTGAGGCAGGCAGATCTTTGTGAGTTTGAGATCAGTCTGGTCTAAATACTAAGTTCCAGGACAGCCAGGGTTACATAGAGAAACTTTATCTCAAAAAACCAAGAAAATAAAAAGCCAATATGGACTATGTTAAAACAAACAAATAACCCCCCACTCCGGAAAACAACCAAGAGCTGTAGCTGTAGCTGTAGCTGTAGCATAGTAGTGGTAAAGAACTTGCCTAGTTATATGCAAGGTCCAGAGCTCTATTCCCAGAACAAGGCAGTGGGAAAGAATGCTATATCTTATGTGATAACAAATAATTTACATTCTAAATACTGAAATAAGTAAAAGGTATATATATAAAAGGTAACAAGACATCCACAAAATGCAAAAATAAGTATGAAACCATGTCAGAAGAACCACCTACAAATTAGCTTCTTTTCAGAGGTAGAGTAATTTCACAACACTGCCTTCCTTCAAAGGGCCTTTTGTAAACTACTATGGGTACGGTATTACTGATTCTTGATTCAAAGTTCTAATGGAAATTTTTTTTTAAAGAACAAAAATTCTAAAGGAAACTTTTTTTTTTTTTTTTTTTTTGGCTTTTCCAGACAGGGTTTTTCTGTGGCTTTGGAGCCTGTCCTGGAGCTAGATCTTGTAGACCAGGCTGGTGTCAATCTCACAGAGATCCGCCTGCCTCTATCTCCCGAGTGCTGGGATTAAAGGCGTGCGCCATCACCACCCAGCTCGATGGAAACATTTTTAGTTTGATTACATACAAACCTCAAGTATCTGCAAATTGCTTATTTTACTAAAACAAAATGTACCCAGAAAGAAATGGTTTAATAGCTTATTCAAGATTCTTTGGAAAGAGTTTCTTAAGGATTCCTACATGTGTTTGAGGTGCTTGTCCAAGGATGGGGAGAAAAATGTTGTCTGTTGAAACTATGAATTCTGATAGGTGCTGGCCCTTGCAGGAAAACCCTTGTTCCTGGTATGCCAGAGAAACTTGTCAGAGGAGCAGCAGCAGATGGGGAGCTACCTGATGGATCAATGGATGGCAACCCTGAAATAAAACAGGTTCAAGACATCCAATTAGCTGAGGTTTTAAAATGGAAAGCTGAAGGTTTATTTTTTTTCTCCAAGATAAAGAAGCATATGCTTTTTTTTCATAAATCAAAAAACCCCTCATATATATGATACTATATTGCCAAACCCAATCTTTTATAATCAGAAGAATATCACCCAATAACGCTAACTATAGGAAATTGAGCCCAATGTTTTGAAATGGAAGTTCATTTGAAGCAATGTTCTAAATAAATCTTCAAGCACTGGGAGGTGGTAGTGCATACCTTTAATCCCGGCACTCAGGAAACAGAGGCAGGAGGATCTCTGTGAGTTGGAGGCCAGCCTGGTCTACAGAGTGAGTGCCAGGATAGGCTCCAAAGCTACAGAGAAACCCTGTCTCGAAAAACCAAAAACCAAAACAACAACAACAACAAAAACTTCAAGTTTTTGTTACTGAATGGGACATGAAGTAAAATCATACTGTGTATTTCTAAGTGGTACTTGCCCAATAATGTCTGCATTTTCTTTTGAGGAAAATCTTCAAGTATAGCTAATTATTTACAAAACTACAGTAATTTCCAATGAAGATGAACAACAAAATTTACCAATGTTTCTTTTATACACAAAGAAAAAAAACTCAAAATAACATTAATTTCAGTATTCTCATAAACAAAAACTATAAGCCATATCATAGCTTTTATTAGTTTGTATGAATTTGAATTTAGCACTTTCTTTAATTTAATCAATAAATTTCATTGATTTCTCTAGTGAAATCAATGAGACAAAGTTCTAGAAAAAGATTACAGGTAGGTACTAATTTCCAATCCAGAACAAGTAGTTTTTGTTCTTAAGTTATTTATTTACTTATGCATTCTGGAACAGGATTTCTCTATTTAGTCCTGGCTGTCCTGGAACTAGCTCTTGTAGACCAGGCTGGTCTCGAACTCACAGAGATCCACCTGCCTCTGCCTCCCGAGTGCTGGGATTAAAGGCAAGGGTCATCACTGTCTGGCTATTTTATTTTTGGTTTTTTCAAGACAGGGTTTCTTTGTATTGCTTTGGCTACTTTATTTTTTTAAGTTTATTTTACTTTTGAGTATAAATGTTTTGTCTGCATGTATATATGTACACCACATGCATGCTGGTGCCCTCAAGAGGTCAGGGTTTGGTGGCGCACTAGAGAGGCTCTATGTGATTTCCAGACCAGCTGGAGTTATAGGTGTGAGACTCTGAAAAAAGGAGGAGGAAATGTTGAATCCTTTAAAACTGGAGTCACAGATGATTGTGAGCCACTATGGAATCAAACCTAGAACCTCACCAGAGCGACCTTGAACTCTGTTTCTGCCTCCCAGGTGTTACACTTATAGACATATGCCACCATACCCAGGCAAAAAAGTAATTATCAACACAAAAAAATTATCAAAAATTATCTTAAGAAGATTTTTTTTTTTTTCTGAGACAGGGTTTCTCTGTGTAGCTTTGGAGCCTATCCTGGCACTCACTCTGTAGACCAGGCTGGCCTCGAACTCACAGAGATCCACCTGTCTCTGCTTCCCGAGTGCTGGGATTAAAGGTGTGTGCCACCAATGCCCGGCCAAGAAGATACTTTTAAAGAATCAATTTCCCCATCATTAAGGAAAATAGACTTAGTATGTAATACACATATCTATTTAAAAAGTATGAAAATGGGGGTGGAGAAATGGCTCAGATGGTAAAGCAATTGCTTTATAATCAAAAGAACCTAAATTTGATCCCAAGTACCCAGGCTCAGTAGTATGGACATGTAACCCCAGCATTGGGGAGGCAGAATCAGGAGGGTCCCAAAGGGTTGCTGGCCAGCATTTTCTCATGGTGCCAAAATGGCAGCAGCAATTCCTACCTTTCCACTATGGTAGGGAGAGAGAGAGAGAGAGAGAGAGAGAGAGAGAGAGAGAGAGAGAGAGAGATATTTTTATTTTATTTCTTAAATTAATTTTATTTATTTACGTGTATGGGTGTTCTATTTGCATGTATGTCTGTGTACCATGTACATGCTTGGTGCCTATGAAGGCCAGAAAAGGGTGTCAGATGCCCTGGGACTGGAGTTATAGACAGTTCTTAGCTGCTGTGGGTGGTAGGAACTGAACCTGGGTTCTCTGTAAGAGCAGCTAAGTGCTTTTAACTGCTCTCTCTAGTACCCACATTTTCATTTGAGACAGGATCTTGTTATGTAGTTCAGGTTGGCCCCTAACTTGTGATTGTACTACCTCAGTCTCCTAAGTGTTGCAATTACAGGTGTATGCTACTATACCTAACTCTCAAAGGATGTTATCTTTTTTTTTTAACCTTAAGTTTTAAAATAATTCCAGACATACAAGAATTTCTCATTTTTCAGTATAGTGCAGATTAGACTGATTTCCTCTTTCAAATATCTACAAGTCAAAACTGGCTTCCAATCCATCAATATCTTTCTTATACTGTATGAGCAGCTAATTGTTATTTTTTCCTTTGACAATTTCACACATGTATATAATGCATTCTGATTATTCTTCCCTGTGACTGGAACTACCTTATTTCTTATCACTTATTTCACTCCTATCCTAGTCAACTCCACTTCTTCCATACAAATCTCTTTTCCATATTCATTAGGTTTTATTTAGTGTCCTATAAAATTTTACTAGGGCAATCTGTGTGACCCTGAGTTTGGAACTATCTGAACCTGGTGGGCTCACCAGTGGGTATATAACTGGATACTATGCTTACCCCTCTGATGGTTGCCCCTTCTCCAACCATAGTAGCATCTAATTTCTAAATCAAGAAGTAAAAGCCAGATATGGTAGTTCATGCCTGTGATCCCAGAAGTCTCTGGCTGATATAGGAACACTCCTATGAGTTTAAGGCCAGTGTGGTTACAGAATTGAGACCTTGTCTCCAACAAAATAATCTATTAAGAGTCAGCACATGACCAGACTCTCTCCCAGTAGTTGCAGCTGATGTAAGAGATGTCAAGCACCATTAATATAATATAAAGTAATATGAATGATGGAACAGTATCTAAACAGTGTGAAGTGCCAATGTTTTCAATCAGAAAAACAAATAACACTATGATTTTAGAAAGTCTATCAATTTGGAATCCTTGAAGTCCATGAATCCTTTTTACTAACATAATTGACATCAACTTCTCCTTACTGTTAAATACAGAAATAGAGAAAAAGCATGAAATAGCTTTTTTTAAAATTTCCCTCGAGACAGGGTTTCTCTGTGTAGCTTTGGAGCCTGTCCTGGCACTCGCTCTGTAGACCAGGCTAGCCCTGAACTCAGAGATCCACCTGCCTCTGCCTCCCAAGTGCTGGGATTAAAGGCGTAAACCACCAATGCCCGGCTGAAATAGCTTATTTTATGTGATTTACATACAGCAATTTTGGGAGGCCCCTTTAAGCAGCATTAACTAAAAGGCATTATTTCTTTAAGGTTATATAATATTAGGTGCAAAATAAGTGCCTACTAGCTTAGAAGGTGAGTTGTAACAGTCTCACATTTAGCTACAATAATACTTAATGACTTACCAACTGGACTGGTAGAAACTCTCTGGGAAGGTGGTCTGAAGCCAGGTGCCTTGGAGTTATCAGGGTGCACATTTTCCAAGTGTCCGAGTACAGAGTTACTCAGGAAAGCTGACTGAACAGTGAAAGAAGCATCTGCAGCAACTCTTGAGGGCAGTGGACCATCTCCCCACCCTTGGTTAGCTGGCACCTGACTGCTATCAAAAAGACTGCTGAAGTGATTAAAAAGTGTGGCTGGGCCAAACGTAGGTTGCAAAGACTTATTTGCTGGATTTATGTGCATCTGAGACCCATTCATCATGTTTACAGCTGAGGAAAGCTGCACTGCAGCTGGTGGGCCTTGTGGTGGTGTTAAAGGAACAGGATTGGTAACAAAGATTGACTGGGGATCCTGGTGTATAGTTGCATTTGGTACCACTGAGTAAAAAGAACCTCTAGGCTGCATTCGATGAGAAACTCGAGGTGTTGGTACAGCTAACTGAGGTAAATTACCAGTGTCCTGATTATCAGCAGTGACCAATCTAGGTGACGGTAACGTCAATGGAGCAGGTTCTGAGTTAGAGGCAAAAGGCATTGACATAGGATTTAAATCAGACACATTGGATGGCTGTCCCTCTTCTTGTGTATTATTGGAGGGAGGAGTAGGACTACTGGATGGGTGAGTGTCTGGAGGTCCTGAGGTGTTGCTGGTAGAGCTATTACAATTGTTTGCAGTTGGAGATGGTGTACATAGGTTTGTCAAGGGCTGGTCCTGTGTGGACGCTTTCTCTTTGGGAGGTGGTACAGCAGAGAAAGACTCTATCTTTTGTGAAGAAAGTTGTACTTGAGGATTAGTTGCAGATATAAAGGTGGTGGTAACTTGTCCAGTAGTGGTAGATGTGCAAGAAACAGAAGGCAAGGAACTACTAGTGCTTGTCACAGAGGAAATCACTGTTGCTGGAGGACTGGTCTTAGGCACACAAGCAAACAACTGCTTTCTCACTGATGAAGGAGTCCGAGTATTAGTCATACATAGTTGCTGATTGGCAGCAACCACAGAAGAGACAGTGATAGGACAACTGGCGGTAGCTAGTCCAGGAGATTCTGATGGTAAAACAGGTCCATTTTGGTTAGGTAGACGGGCTGTATTATTATGCTTTGGCGAACTATTTGCATTGCCAGGATTCACAGGTCTCACTGGGAATGGTCCCCAAGTGTTAGGTGAAGGTGAGAAGGTTCCTCCAAACTGTGCCATGGGTAAGCGAGGATGCCGAATCTGTTGCATAGTCTGAGCAGCCAGCAAAGCAAAATGAGGATGAGGATAAGCTAAGGGAAGAGAAACTGGGAAAGGAGATCGTACATTTGTTGGCACATTCTTACTAAGTTTATTAGTGGGCTGGAAGGTAGATAATGTTGTTGCCTGTGATGTTACAAGAGCTGGAGCACCTAAGGGAAATGCATTCTTGCTGGAAGTTGCTGCGGTGCCTACTCCAGATGAGAAGTTTGTATGAATGGTCTTGGTACTTGCAGGTGTCCTGATATGGTTTTTAGGAATCAAGTCTTCTAGTTCCTTTGCAGGATCTTGAATAAGTGCATTGATAAGCTGAACTGCATATCTTGTTGATTCTGTACCACCCCTGGAGAACAAATGAAATAAGGCCAACAATATAAACAACAACAACACACCTTAAGTAATCTTTTTTTATAGTAGAAAAATGTTTTTCACACAATACATTTTGATCTTGTTTTCTCCCCTAGACAATCTTATGAATCAATTTTTCTCCTGTTGTTGACCCCAGGGCTTAATATGCTAGGCAAGCAATTTACCAGTGAACTATATCCCAACTCTCAAATAAAATTCCTATCTAATAAAAGTATGCTTCTTATAAAATTTTGACTCAGAACTAGCAATATATATGTTTTTTATTTTTTTACAGATACCTTATTGTAATCATTCTCTCTCCATTCTTATCTTTTTGTTTATCCACATCAATATGGGCACCAGTAACATCTTGAATTGCTGTAATGTTGCATCCTCCTCTTCCCATTATTCTGGACACCACTGAGGCTGGAACAGATAATTTCTTTGACCTATAAAATGAAGGCTGCCCATGAGCTTATTGTTGTAATTTTTAAAAAGCAGCTTGAGAGAGAAAGACACCATGGGACGGAGTTTTTATTAAGGGAAAAGAATTATAAAAAGGGAAAGGGAGGGTGGCCTCAGGGGACAAGGACAGTGGGAGAGAGGTCAGAGACAGAAAGACACAGACAGAGAGAGGGAGAGAAAGAGAGAGAGGAGGATGTGGGCAGGGCCCAATTAAAGGGGAATATAGTAAATGTGCAGATGGTGTTTTTTTAGTGGCTGCAGCTGAGGGCATATCGTCAGAACCCCAACAACAGGTCAGTACAGATGCCTGAATACTAACACTTTTGAAATCAAATTTCCTTCCTTCCTTCCTTCCTTCCTTCCTTCCTTCCTTCCTTCCTTCCTTCCTTCCTTCCTTTTTAAACAAAGACAGTCTCCCTCACCTAGGGAGCCCCATCCTAACTTTCTTGTTCTTTATTTTAACTTTATTTTATGCACATTAGTGTGAAGGTGTCAGACCCCGGGGAACTAGAGTTACAGACAGTTGTGACCTGTCATGTGCGTGCTGCGAAATTGAACCAGGATCTTCTGGAAGAGTAGCCAGTGCTCTTAACTGTTGGGCCATCTCTCAGCCCCCAAATCAAATTTCTCTAAATAAATAATAAATATTGGGATAAAAAGTTGGGTTGTCTAAGTATGCTGATGGAATTTTATAGAATTCCATTTTATAGAACCTTAATTAAATTTTGGGGGGGAGTTTCAAGACAGGGTTTCTCTGTGTAACAGCCCTGGCTGTCCTGGAACTCATAGAGATCCACCTGCGTCTGCCTCCCGAGCTGGGATTAAAGGTGTACACCACCACCAACTGGTTCTTAATTATTTTAGAAACTATTATATTGAATTTAGTTGAGGAAAATTAGATTAAAAGTTAGGTTGCCATTTAAAACAAAAATCCTAAATGGGGCATGGTGGTGCATGCCTTTAACCCCAGTACCCAGGAAGCAGAGGCAGGGGGATCTTTTTGAGTGTAAGGCCAGTTTGGTCTACATTGTGAATTCTGGGACAGCCAGGGCTACTTAGTGAGATTCTGTCTCAATAAACAAACAAACAAACAAACAAACAAACAAAAAATAAATGAAAACAAAAAAAAGCATTCAAGTCTGCTCAAAACATTACAAGTCAACTAACACAATTTTTCTTTCTAAATTAAAAATGAAAAGCATACAATATTGGGCTAGGAGTGGTGGTGGTGACACACACCTGTAATCTCAGCACTTAGGAGGCAGAGGCAGGTGGATGCAAGGCCAATCATGTCTACAAAGCTAGTCCAGGCCAGCCAGAGCTACATAGTAAAACCTTGTCTCAAAAACAAAACAAAATCTATCCCGAGTAATATATGATGGTTTATAATTTCAAACAATAAACAGCTCATATTTAGCAATTTTTAAAAAGTCTCAAATTTAGCCTACATAAAATGCAATTCATTACTTCATCATGTCATATGAAATATATACACACACATGTATCTTCTATTTTTTTTTAAAGATTTATTTATTTATTATGTACAGTTTTCTGCCTACATGTATGTCTGCACTGCAGGCCAGAAGAGGGCATTAGATCTCATTATAGATGGTTGTGAGCCACCAGGTGGTTGCTGGGAATTGAACTCAGATCCTCTGGGATATCTCTCCAGTCCCCTGTTGCTTTTTTTTTTTTTTTAAGCATATTCTGGATTTAGAATGGTTTTATAGTTTGTAATAAAGGTTATATTCAAATTATTAAATAGGTAACCATATCATAAAAGATGGAGAATTTTAAGCCAGGTGTGTTTGTTGGTATACACCTGTAATCCTAGCACTTGGGCAGTAGAGGCAGGTAGTTTAAGTATTTAAGGTTAGCCCTGGCTGTATATCAAATTTAAGGTCGGCTTAGGTTGTATCAGACTCATAAAAAACAAATCAAAACAAAGTTAAAATAAAAGTCACTGTAGTGGCATACTTCTATAATACCAGCACTTAGGAGGCAGTAGAACAAGGAATGCTACACACTTAAGTTCCTTTTGTTTTACTAAACTAACAGATGGGAACAGTTCTACTTACCTTCTAACAACTTCTTTCCATCCTTCTTCTCTTTTTTGACCCCTTTTAGGACTAGTGAGATTCATTTTCATGGTTGGAGAGCTCAATGGCAATGACTTGTAGCTTGCTGATAAGGAATTAGAATTTGCTTCACCTTCAAGGCTGTGAAAAGGAAATTACAGAGTTCAACAAAAGTTTAAGATAGAAATTCAAGAGACTACATAGACAAAATTATAATGAAACACTCTTAAATTTGGTACACTTGGGGGCTGGAGAGATGTCTCAGTGGTTAAGAGCACTGACTGTTCTTCCAGAGGTCCTGAGTTCAATTCCCAGCAACCACATGGTGGCTCACAACCACCTTGAATGAGATCTGGTGTCCTCTGCTGGCATGCAGGGCACAAGACTGTATACATAATAAATAAATCTTAAAAAATGGTACATCCAATAATCAAGACAGAAAACAAAATAAGAGTCCATCATCTATTTTAGTATCAAAATGGGCTATTCAATAAAATTAACATAGTTAACTAAATCAAAGCATGGTAATATTTTTAAACTTCAGACTAAGAATCTTACAATGAGCATGATTAAGAGGACAGAGATGAATTTTAGTTCTGCATATTAGAGACAAGATAATATTGTAGACTCTTTTTTTTTTTTTAAGATTTTATTTATTTATTATGTATACAACCTTCTCCTCCCCTGTATATCTGCACACCAGAAGAGGGCACCAGATCTCATAACGGATGGTTGTGAACCACCATGTGGTTGCTGGGAATTGAATTCAGGACCTCTGGAAGAGCAGTCAGTGCTCTTAACCTCTGAGCCCTCTCTCCAGCCCCCAATTGTAGACTCTTAATACAACTTGTACTTAGATAACATACTGTGAAATTTTATGCCAGGAATAAAATAAGAGCAGTGAATATAGAGTTAACAAAATAGAAAAAGTTACCGTGTCTGACTCTTGGAAGTGGCAGTAATTGTCTTTTCTTCTTGAGAGCTGAGAACTGAGGGGCCCCTTCTGTCGTTGGTAGAATTCATATCCACAGTGAAATTTAACTCTTGACTTTTACCACCACTACTACTCTCGCTGTTGCAGTCTGTGCTATCTAAGTTATCCGAATCACTATTCCCACCTGTACCACCACCTCTAGATTCTCCATTTATTTTATTTTTATCTGCTTTTTGTTGTGCTAAAGATATATGAGATTCAGGTAAGATTAAATGTGCAGTGGGAGGAGATTCTTTTGTCTTATTCTTCTTATGTTTCCGGTTGGTACTGGGGGTTGTCACTACATTGGCTCTTTTTTTCCCAAACACATTTGTGAATGTAGCAGATGTAGCAGAGATTCCAATGGTGGTGGTGGTGGTTGCACTTGGAGGCTCTATGGGAATTTCTTGTTCCACTGAAATTATTAAAAAAAAAAAAAACACAATGAGAGTCAAAGATCCCAAAACAAATCGTTACAGAATACATGCAATAATTCATAGTAAATCAATCTTTTAGGTTATATTTTCCTTTTCACTAAGAAAGAAATCTTTATTGTTGTTAGAGTATTCTGATGTATAAGTTGGTATAGAATATATAGAGCATTAATATTCTTTTTTTTCTTTAAATGATTTATTTATTTAATGTGCCTTGATGTTTTGTCTGCATGTATGTCTGTCTGTTCGTGTGAGGGTGTTAGATTCCCTGGAACTGGAGTTACAGACAGTTGTGAGCTGCCATGTGCATGTTGGGGATTGAACTTGGGTCCTCTGGGAGAACAGCCAGTACTCTTAACCACTGAGCCATCTCTCCAGCCCTACCATTAGTATTTTTAAGACTGATAATATAAGTCCTATGAACTATTCAAAAACCACAATATACTTTGAATTTAGGAAAAATCTGGAATAGTACTGAGGAACCAGAATTCAAGTAAAACACAATTAAACACCCCAACCGTCAAAGCTAACCTCCATGGTTTTAAGCCTTAACCTTAGCTAAGCATTTACTAAGGAATTATTCTAATCAGGGAAGTTAGAGGTAGAGAAAAATCTGAAGGAAAACTGGCAAACCTTTTACTGTACCCTTTAATATTTACTAGGTGTTTTACAGGCAAACTTAAATTATACCCCACCTCTTTAAGTCATGCTTGCTTTCATCTTCTGTTTTCTTTACTAATTTATACTGTAAAGCATTTAGTATTATTTACTATAAAAACCAACTATCAATTTCAGATAAAGTAATGAAACCCTTAACAAGAGTGCCTCCCAAAGGTTAATTTAAGTTTTATTTATTATTTATTTGTGTATTTAGAAACAGGGTCTTTTTATGTAACCTAGTCTGACCTTGAATTCTCCTGTCTCAGCATCCTATGTGGTAGGATTACAGGTTTAATCTACTATGCTAACTAACAAAGGATAATTTTATATTTAATTCTGATGAGTTGTTTTTTACCATCTTCATCATTCTCTTCTTCATCTTCACCCTCTGGTTGTTCTGAATTCTCTTTAGGTTTGTTCTCCTCATCTTCTTGTTTCCTCTTCTGTTCCTCTTTTTTCTTTTTTCTCTTTTCTTTTCTCTTCTCTCTTTTAGCTGCAAGAGCTTGCTTTCTGCTCTCTTCTCTTGACTGCAAATAAAGTGTATAATTAAATTTAATAATGTAAAAACTTTTTTTAGATTTATTTTGTGTATAGGTGCTCTTTTCCTCACTTGGCATGCCTGGTTCCTGAGGAGGTCAAAAGCAGGCATGGGGGCTTGAGAGATCGCTCAGCAGTTAAAAGCACTGGCTGCTCTTCCAAAGGACCAGGGTTCAACTCCCAGCACTTACACAGCAGCTAACAATTGTCTATAACTCAAGTACCAGGGGATCTGAAACCCTCACACCAATGTCCATAAAAAAAAAAAAAAAGCAGTCATGGGATCCTCTAGAACTGGAATTATGGATGGTTGTAAGCCACCAATGGAGGTGCAGGCAATTGAACCTCAGGTTCTCTGTGAATGCAACAACACAAGTGCTCTTAACATCCGAGCCATCTTTCCAGTGGTGGTGGTGCACGCCTTTAATCCCAGCACTCAGGAGGCAGAGACAGGTGGGCCTGGTCTAAAAGAGCTAGCTCCAGG